TGTTGTATCCGATATACAAACTCTTGGCTATGCCTCAAGCTTCATGCATATCTGATACAACATGGCCACTCATACTGTATATATATTAGTAAATGCATGCCAATAGCTAAAGGCAATAGTAAAATAATAAGGTACTATAATATCACTTACATCTATGATAGTAATAGCTACATTTTGTAGTTTTTGAGGTTCCACATAGGAGTCAACACAATTTAAGGTGAGTCTTGATGCAAGTTCATTCCTCCCCATGCTTTCCAGCTGTTACAAAACAAGAAAAGATTGCTAAGATACCCACTTCGTAAACACGCTTGTATGAGAAACTCTCTAACTTATAGCTATTTGAGTGAATATGGCTATTTAGCACATACCAACTTGTGTATTTCCTAAGAACGCGTGCACTCATTGGTTAATTGGAGGTGAATATTGTATGACATTCACCTCTGAATYTCGGAATATTGAGTCGGCAACAAAATGGCATCTGCCGGCAATCATTTTGCTACAATTTCCGATGAGGAAATTGAAAAAATGAAAGTAAATGCCATTCCAATCAATACTAARAAGGCAACGAAGTGTGGCCTAAACGTTTTGCTAAAAGTTTTGCGTGAATTTGTCACGCAAACTAAAAGTTTCTGTTTGTTTGTTTTTATTGAATTATTGTATATAGACATAAGTTACTCTGTACACAAGTTGGTATATGCTAAGATAATTAATCGCCTCATGCTCAATGAATATATAGAATATTTACCTCGCCGCTTCAAGACTYGAGTTTCGGTAAATATTCCTTGATATTCACTTCGCCTTCGGCRAATAATTGYTAATTATTCTTACCCTTTCAACCATAAAATCAATTGAGTCAGCTATGTCTTCATCAACAATATYGACACTGAAGTTGTTCATTATCATCTTTTTCAGAATAAAGGCAGGCAAAACCCAGAACCTTTAAAAACAATGTTGTTGGTCATATTTCAAGTCAAAAAAAGTGGTGTTAACTTTCTAATCTTCTCTTACGATGATGAAACTGTTGTCTGTTGGAAGACTGAAGTATCCGAGAATGAATTACAAAGGACCAAAGAGTGAATGCGAGGGCTAAGTGACGTCATCTCACAAAACTTTTGGCCCAGAAATCCACCAAGTGATGCTCCAAATACATGGACCTTGACACAAGAAAAATACAATTACTTGAAGTATGAAGAGTTTAGGATAAGGGTTAGGGTTAAAACCATCAGTAATTGAGCATAAAATAGCATTTACTGAGAAAAATAGGTATTTACTTTGTCAAGTTGTAAATGATCTAAAAGCTTCTTAAATCCTTCGATCCATTCTGTATACGTCCAATAAACTGGATATTCAAGCTAAAACATAAACAAAAAAAGCTGATTATACAAGGAATTTCATGTCAAAGTTTTGACAAAAGGGAAAAAAATTCCTATTATCCATSTACTACTAAAATAAAATAAGAGTTACACTAAATGGAACAACAAAAACACCATATAATTAGCTTACAGAAATGACTCTATAACCAAGGCTGGATAAGGTTAATATTTGTTTGAAGAACACATCCGATGTACCACTTGCTGGTGGAAGACAGATAAGAGGACATCGCACAGACCTTGGTCCAGCATCATAAATCAGCCATTCTTTATCACCAGATGAATCAACAATAACCTATAAATTAATTCTTATTAATATTAYGTATTTACAATTATTGATATGATATATCTGAATACTCAAACAGTCTTGGGGCTTCAACTATCA